TATTTATTTACATATGCCACAACAAAATCTGATGATACATATAAATTCTAGAAAGAACATACTACAGAGGAAGTGGCAACCAAGCTAGATAGAAGAGCAACAAAGAGGGCACTATTGTAAGTGGTTGGTTCAGCCTGCATAGAGTTGTTCCGAAAATCATCGTATGTCTCATTAAAGGAAGGACCACCCACTAGAGCTCCAAATGCTACATAAGGATTGGGGTAAGGTGAGTCATACCACCACTTGAATCCATCTTTGCAACCAGTTGTAGCATTAACCGGAATGGAAGACCCTCTGTGATGTATATATTTTGGGTAATGAGTTCCATATCCCACAAGATAACTCATCTTCAATGGATTTTCGCCTAACACATAATCTGCCTGAAATTGTTCAACCATAAATGCAATATGGAATAACATAAGAACATCATGAAACACTTTATACAAATGTACAAGTCCTATTTAGATAAACTTCTCTGCAAAGATTCAGAAAAGAAAAGGTAAAATATGACTTGAACATTTTTAAGTTAAAATTAACTTAAGTACGTAATTTTTACAAAAGTTGATCTGTACAAGATGATATTAACTTATGAGGGAAACTCAATTCATTTTCCTTTCTTTCTTTTTTTTTCTCCTATTAGTAGTTATAGAAAAATTTACTCAAACAAAATCAATGAAAAATTGAAGTTGGGTACAATCTTGATTATAAGAATGGAAAACATTTGTCTACTTTACAAGACTTGTGTACCTGAGAGATGGCAAATTTGCGAAGATCTACTGGCTTATACAATTTCCCACTACAATATAGAGTTTCAGTTTGAGATGTTTGCATGTAGTCGCTATAAAGAACAGCTAAGAATGCAGAAGCCACTGAATGTTGCAAAGAGTTCCATGGCACCGCCCATATCAACCCACCTGTTATATAATGATAATTTGTTCATCTAAAGGAGGGGATATTAATATTTGATGTCTTCTATTATCATCTTCAGCATTATTAGCATAAAATGGTAGCTACCTTTTGCATGGATTAACGAAAAGAAAGAGTAGATACACACAAATTATGCAAATGCTATATAGAAGAAATCGATCATACTTTCTGTTCTGTTGGTGGTGGCTGTTGGTGAATCAGGTAGAAGCTTGCAGATGAGGATTTCAGCAGTTTCTCTGTACATCTGAAGGTCAAGGTTCTCCTCATCTGCGATGTTACTTGCACCAAAGAAATTTACTCTGGACAAAAGAACCTAGTTCAACATCACAAAATGCATGAAGGGAAGATTTATCACAAAAATTATTATGCCTAATTCATTCAAGCCTACCAAGGAAAGGTAAAAGAAAAAAGTTTATTTTTTGTGCACGTGAAAGTTTTAAATGATAGTCCAATAAATATGATTTTTAAGATAGTTAATGTAAAAATCAACAAACTTATCATATAATACAATGTCTAGATGAATGATAGTGTAAAACAACGTTACATTGTCGGTGCATAAACTACTTACTCAGGAATAAAAACACTACATCATGATCACACTTACATGAGTTGCAGCATGTTTATCATCCCAACTAAACCACGAAAAACTTCCTATACTGCCAAATGCTTCCTCATTCTGCTCTGTCACATAATTTAGATATGATGGATCCTTAGTTGCATGGTAGAGCCAGGTACCTGCCCATAAGAGTTCATCCCCATAACCAGATGAGTTATAGTAATCCTTCACTTGAGGGATGCTCACACTGTAGGAAACTCTATATGTATCAGCAAAAATAAACAGCTGCTGAGCATGTCTTAGGAGAATCTCAGAATAAGTGAAATCGATCTTCTTAAAAACAAGAGATGCTGAGGCAAATGCAGCCGCAGTTTCTGCAGCAACTTCTGTTCCTGGAGAAGATGAGTTAACTTGAGTGAGGGGCCTTTCTTCACCCATGTTTTCAGGCCTCTCCCAGCAATTGTGATCCACCTCAGGATTCCCCACCTTCATCAAGAAAACAAGTACGTGTTTGATTCAGCTCAACACAAAAAAATGGCAAGGAAAACAAATTTATGTTTGATTTAATTTATTTTCTTTTAGTGTTAGATAAGAAACTTGGAAAAACCATGTTACAAAAGCAATCCATGATGACTGGAGAGTGGAGAGCCCAAGTTATAAAGCCACACTAAAATTTCACCCCAAGTTTAGGGATGGGAAATAGGGTAGGACAACTATGAGTTTCTCTATACCAATCTTTATTTTCCATTCCTGTATCATATATCCATCCCTCTTTTTATACTTATGTATATAAAATTTGTATCTTCATTCCTCTTTTTGTAGGATATGAGATATATCTATACCGTTCCATGTTCATCTAAAAATTAATTAAATATTATTTTTTTACAAAAAATATATAAAATAAGAATTTTAACATAAAATAATAATAAAAATTATATTAATTAAACTTTATTTGACATAAATTAAAATTAGAGTAAGAAATTACATAAATTTTAAATAAATTCTAAAAAAAAAAAAAATATTTATAAATTTTGAGCAGGTACAGGATATATATATATATATATGTGTGTCATGTACCTAATTTAATGAATCGGGTATTATCCATATTCGAAACCGTATCCAATCAAATTAGATATTTTCTAGTACAATTAGGATGAATTCGGATATTATTCACAGATATGAGTTTACTTGTTGGTAGGCCAAGGTTCATATCTTGCAATTAAGCATCTAATATCAACTGATATGAATATAGAGAATGACACTCACACCACAAAACTAGTAATTGTAAAACTCACACTAGAATCTCAAACTTCCAACACGAGAATAGAGTATCTCATCTTACATATATGGATCCTAAGAGCTATTCTTTCTCAAAAATTAGACTGAAAGCAGAAGCGTAGCACAAAGTTGAAGCAAATAGTTAACCTGAATGTAGAGCACTTCAGGAAAAGGGTGAGCATTAATAAGATAATCCATGATCCACTTTAGCGAGTCAAGTGCATAGTGAAGCTGCTTCACTGCATCCATGCGATCTCCATATTCAAGAATCGCCCAAGACAACACAGTAGCAGTGAAAGCCATGGGGAACCCAAATTTCACGTGGTCACCAGCATCATACATTCCTTTAGATAAATCCAAACCCGCTTCACTCCCATCTCGTAGCCCCGAATCCCCTCTCCACCAAATTCTATTATTCTCCAATTTACCAGCTACATCACACACATTATTAGCAAATTATATTAATCATAATATAAAGTCATTGTTACAATATATGTATCATTAGATATTAGATACGACATTACATTTCTGAACGTCAAAAAATTGAAGAGCCAAATCAAGAGCAGAGGCGTATTTCTGAACAATGTTGGTGGGGCTAGTAGTGAATGGAGCTGAATCAGAGTGACCAAACTTAAACTTGGTTATTAGAGAAAGAACACCTGCACCTAGTACAAGGATTCCGATGATGGACACTGTTAACCAACAACACAAGGCACACACGTGGTGCTTTTTGTTGTTGTTGGATTCTCCAACCTTGTGTTCCATTCAATTGAAAATGAGGTAATTAATTATTATGGCTTGTAAGTTTAAGTCATGGTGATTTTAATTTAAACACTTTGTTTTTCGAAGGCAGAGGAGAGTGAGACAAGTAGAGGGTATTGTCCTTCTTTGATAAGAATGATAGTAAAGCAACACAAATTATTATTAAATAAAGTATGGAAATCCAAGACGCAACCGCAATGGGTGATTCTGCAGCTGGAGAATGATGCCACTTAGAAGATCAAGACAAAGATTTGAGGTTCTGCTACTGATTATTTGTAAGTTTGGTAAGCTGAAAATATATAACTTATTGTTTTAGGCAAAATATTTATCTATATTTATTTTTCTTAGTTATTTAAAATTTTGATTATTTCAAAAAAATATATTTGATAATATATGTTTTATGACAATAAAATACTGAAACAAAGACAACTGATCTTTTTGTCTATTAATTTAATATGATATTTTAAAATTTAAAACTATTTTTTATTAACCAATGCGTTATTAATAATTTATCCATCATTATATTTATTGCTACATGTATGATGTAGAAGAGAAATATCACTATTAACAAAAATAAACATTTGGTTTTAAATAGTTTTAAAAAGAATTTATATATATATATAGTGTGTGTGATTTGAGCTTCAGAGATTTTACAGTTTCAAAGAAAAAAATCACATTCAAAATATTGTGTTCGATAGAATTGAGGGCCACTCCAACATGACTATCATCTTACGCTCATACTTTTTGGTTCCGAGGTATAAAACATAGAAATAATGTTTGTACGTAAGCTATAAATAGATACAAAACATAGAAATATTGTCGGTACGTAAGCTATATATAAACAAAAAATTGCATGTCATGAGACGGCTTGATGTTTTATCTGAAGCCGGGTGAATGTAAACTTATATGCAGAAGTTTTGCGCCATTGTCTCGTGTTTTCCTTGTTTGCTGCTTGTTTTTGAGTGTGGCGTGGCATAGCCAACAGTGACACGATGCAGCTGCAAGAGGAGATTTTGGTTTTACTTTTGTTTCTTACCTTAGCTTCACTTCCTATATGATCTTACAAATCTTAGAAGTTAAAGAGCATCAATGATGGGTGTTTAAATATCTCACACTCTAAGAAATATTACATATAGTGACATACAAAAAGTGTTACTATAAAAACATTGTATTCTAGGGCTTGAAGAATCGCCGATGGAGATTGGAGACGAAGGTTTTCATTTTGGCGACACGCGTTCTTCTGTTTTCGACTTTCCGTTTTAGTTTGCCAAGAAACTTCAAAGAGGTCAGTCAGACTTCAGCCATCGCCGCATGGTCCAACCACCATCTCCTCGTGCTGTCGCACTTTGATGACAACGGAAACACTAAAAAATATGTACTTTTGGTGTTCAATGCTCTCTTGATAATCTTGTTGCCTGGTAAGTAATCACTTCCCTTTCTCTGCTACTTCTTATCTTTTGGATTGTAATTAGGGGGAATGGGTGGTGCTCAAGGAGATTTCGGAGGACATCTTAGACAAATTCTGAATAAATCTACGTCTTTCTTCTTCTCTAATGTGGCGGAGAATCAAGAGATCTCAGTGTTGTGGAAAATTTTTAAAAAATGGGGGAAGGTAGTAGACGTGTTCATCCCGAAAAAACGTGATAAGCAGGGACAGAGGTTTGGGTTTGTACGGTTTTCTGGCGTCTGTGATGTGGAGGCTTTGGAAAGGAGTCTTAATTCTATCGTCATTGGAGCATGGAGGCTAAAGGTCAACCTTACTCGCCATTCTCGGACGGAGAGGAGCATTAGACATGTAGCCACTCAGGTGCAAGTTGACAGGCATCGTGAGTCTAGGGGGGTAAGGCAAAGTCATGGAGCCTCTTATGCGGATAAATTGAAAGGAACGGTGAGGTTCAATGTTAAGGAGTCGAAGGGAAATACGGTGGTACCGATTAAGGGGGGTAATGAGTGGGTGCGGAAAAAGGAGCCTTGGTGTCATCTCCATTTCTCGGTTGATGATGAGGTAATTGAGGAATGTCGGTGATCTTTGGTGGGTCGTCATCACCGTCATCTCCAATTGGCTACGATTCATCAAGAGTTATTACAAGAAGGTCTCTTGGATATCAAGGTGGCTACAATGGGTGATGATATGGTTCTGGTGGAATCGGATGCTGGTATTAATCTTGAGGATACGGTGTCACTGAATAAAAAGCTCTAGGAGAGGTGGTTTTATGAGTTAGTTGAGTGGCATCCGAGGATGGTATGTGTACGACATGAGACATGGGTTCATTGTTATGGCATCCCCCTTCATGCATGGTCAGAGAAATTTTTCATCAAAATGGTCTCTTCCATGGGGGATTTTATCCAAGTTGATGATGATACACGGGAGAGAAGGCGTCTTGATTATGCCTGAATTCAAATAAGCACGACGTATAAGGCATTGATCAATGAGGAAACATAGGTGTTGATGAATGACTTATGCTTTTCGGTGCATATGGTGGAGGAACATGGAGGACAATTTCTGACAAAAGAATGGGACAGTGATGATAGCACCTCTGAGGATGTCTCCGATAATCAGTCACTTGATTTGGAGGATTTGGAAAATTATTCCTCTGATGAGGATAGAGGTGTGGAGGAGGGGCAACCAGAGATGATGACTAGAGAATGTAGTAGTGGTGAGGTCTCAGTGGGGATTGTCAATGACAATAGTGGTGGGAATTGCGTTGATGGGGTTGCGCAAATGATGGAACAGATGGTGGAAGGGGCAATAGAATCCACTATGGTAGCTGCTAAAATTACGAATTTGGTTATGGAAGGAGTTAATGCAATTGAAGGGGTAGTTAATGAAATTCCTAAGAATATTCAAAATGGGGCAGAAGAGACTATGCAGAATGATATGGTGAGCCCTATGAGGGAGTTAGGCGTTGTCCACGATGTGGCATTGGATGATGGTGGTGGTTTGATTAGCACAGGGAGTAGGGCGGTTAATAAAAAGGAAAGTTTGTTTAGTAGAGGGGATGGTGTGGAATGTGATGAGGGAGGGGAGCGAAAAGAGGTGGAAACAGAGGATATATATGTGATGACTACTAGTGATGTTGTTCTACATCATCCCATATATACGAGTGAAGGGGGTGTGATTTCTAAAACAATAGAGGATCCAAGTCTGGATGGGTGTTCATTGCTAGATGAGGAATTGGGTCCCGATTCCCAGAATGACCTTCTTGGACTTAGCAAAGGGCTTCGGCAAAATGAAGTGGACGGGCCTATTGAGCCTAGGGAGGGGGTGGTGTCAATAGACTCCCTTCAAGCTAAATGTATTCAGCCTATCGTCAGAAATAATGTGAGAAGTGCACTAAAAAAAGCAAGAAAGAAAAAATAGAACAAAGGACCATTTCTCGATTCGGTGTCATTGTTGAAAGGTTTTCTATCTCCAGTGGCGGTTGCAGGTGGTGGGAACTCAACGGCAGTCCCGTCGAATGATAGTAATGGTGTTAATTTAGGTGTAGATTTAGAACGGTGTTATGATGAAGCTATGGATGATCGTATTCTCTCTATCTGCAAGAGTGTTGGAATGGAAATGCATGGGAATGAAGACAAGGTGCGACAAAAGCTTATTTCCTTAGAGTGTAGGGACCGTATGGTGGCGGTTGGTAATAGGGGTTCCTCGGATGTGCAATGAGAGTTGGTACATTCAATTGTCGTGGATTAGGGGGTGATGTGAAAAGACGTCATATATCTGAGCTTATTCGATCTGAGGAGCTAGATTTCATTGCGATACAAGAGTCTAAATTGGAGATGTGTAATCGTGAATTTTGTGCTCATTTATGGGGATCTACAGAGTTTGAGTGGTTTGCTTCTCCTTCTCAAGGTAGGAGTGGGGGTCTACTTTCTATTTGGAACTCTAACAGAGGTAAATTATTGTTTACGTTTTCTGGTTCTAGTTTCCATGGTGTCTATCTGCGATGGGGTGTGGATGCTTATAGCTGTGTGGTGGTGAATGTCTATTCCCGGTGTCAACTGGTGGATAAGCGGCAGTTGTGGGAAGAGTTAATCATGTCTAAGCATGGTTTTGGGAGTTGTTGTTGGTGTATAGTGGGGGATTTCAACACGGTGAGAAGATTGGATGAGAGAAAAGGGGTGACTGGTGACTACGGTGCACGAGATATGGAGGAATTTAATTCGTTTATAAGAAATATGGAGTTGATTGATGTACCACTGGTTGGGAAGCGATTTACTTTTAGGAGTGATGGTTCTATGATGAGCAGGTTGGATAGGGTGTTGGTCTTAGAAAGTTGGAGTGCTCACTAGGGCGCAGGTTTTGTGGAGGTGATTCTGCGTGATGTATCTGATCATTGTCCATTGATTTTGAACCATAAAGTGCTAAACTGGGGCCCTAAACCGTTTCTTTTTAATAATTGTTGGCTTTCTCATAGGGGTATTGACGGTGTAGTGAGGTCTTCATGGATGAAACAGGTCCAAGGTTCGTGGGCCGCCCAAAGATTACGAGGAAAGCTCTTGAATGTCAAAATTGCTCTAAAGAAGTGGAACATTGATGTGTTTGGTAATGTGGATACCAAGATAAAAAGCTTGACTAAAGAATTAAAGGAACTGGATGCGAAGAATGAGGAATATTTTCTTACAAAATCAGAAAGAAGTAGGCAAAAGGAGTTAATGGATGGTATTTGGTGTGCTCGGAAGAACAAACTAAGCTTGTTAGCTCAAAAGGCTCGAGTTCGTTGGGGGTAAATATGGTGATTTAAATTCCAAATATTTTCATGCTTGTATAAGGGGAAGACAGCGTCGTAACCAGATTAGTGCTTTGAAGATGGGTGAGCGTATGGTAGAGGAGGTTTATGAGATTAAGGAGGTAGTGAGGTCATATTTTGAGGAGAATTTCAAAGCCAGAAATTGGCTTAGACCGAGAATGTCACTAGTTGGTTTTCCTTTGGTGTCTAATGCGCAGAATGCAATGTTGGTTGGTGACTTTACAAAGGAGGAGGTGTGGTGTTTGATTAGGGAGAGTGATGGCGATAAAAGCCCAGGACTTGATGGTTTTAATTTTGCTTTTTTGAAGAGATTTTGGCCTCTTATGAAGAGGGATGTGATGGATTTGCTTGCTGATTTTGGCCTCTTCTGTCATTTTATAAAGCACCGAACTCAGTGATTAAGGAAATTGTGGCCATTCAACGTGATTTCTTGTGGAGAGGTGTCAAGGATTGCTCAAAGATTCCTTGGGTAAAATGGGAAATGGTGTGTGAGTCTAAGGTTGAGGGTGGACTAGGAATCAAGGATGTAAGATTGTTCAATTGGGCACTACTAGGAAAATGGGTGTGGAGGAACATGCTTTCTCCGGGGATGTTGTGGGCTAAAGTTCTTCATAGTAGGTATGGGCGCATTGAGTCCTTTTCTAATTGCTCTGATGTGGATAGGAGGGCTTCTTGGTGGTGGAAGGATATAGTGTGTGTGCTACAATAAGGAAATTTTTGGTTAGATGAAAAAATTGATCATTGTATTGGTGATGGCACTATGACCCAATTTTGGGAGGATAAGTGGTTAGGTGGTTTCCGCTTGTTGGATGCCTTCCCTCGTTTGTACTCCTTTGCCATTGATCCTTTGTCAGTGGTGGCACATAATGGAACTTGGGAGGGATCTAGGTGGGTGTAGCAGGTTAAGTGGAGAAGAGAACCTTTTGTCCATGAAGTTAGTAGTGTGAATACCTTGTTGGATATGCTTCAAGGTTTGCAGATTTTCCCTTCTAAGCAAGATTATTGGAGATGGATTTGTGATAAGGACGGAGTATTCTCGGTGAAAAGTGCGTACCTTTGGCTCCAGCGCTTGTTGGGTGGAGAACCTACATATTCTTCAGATTTTCAACAAATTATAAAAAGTCTTTGGAAAAGCAAGGCTCCGATCAAGTGCCTGGTATTTTGTTGGCAGGTGTTTTTGAATGCGTTTCCGTGCAAATCATTGTTACAAGTACGTGGTGTGGAGTTGGATAACAATTTATGTTCTTTTTGCTCTCTATTTGCTGAAGACCCTCTTCATCTTTTTCTAATGTGCCCTATAGCTTTTAATACTTGGTTAGCTGTGGCCAATTGGTTGGAGGTGGCGGTGGTCATTCCTAATTCTTTAACTTCTTTTTATTTATATTGGACAAATCTTGGTATTTATAAAAAACGTTCTCAGTACTTTCTGGTGGTTTGGGTTTTTGTTATCTGGTCACTATGACTTCATCGAAATGTGATCACATTTCATCAAGGTGTTTCGGATTGCAAGGAAGTGTTGGACAGCATTAAACTGCGTTCATGGAAGTAGATAACTAGTTCTGTCCCTGGATGTTCTTTTAGTTACATTAACTAGTATCATAACCCGAATTTATGTTTCTCATAGTTTTGACTTTGATTTTTTATTTATATTTATGTTTTTGTGTTCCTTGTAACGGGTTGGAGTACCCCTTGTACTCCCTTTTAATTTTAATCTCTCTTGCTTATCAAAAAAAAAAAACAAAAAGTGTCACTATAGGTACAATATATATAGGTATATGTATATTTGACATATAGTTACACACAATTTTAGTGTTAATTTTGAATGAAATTTAACAACATATTTCGTGTGTCACTATAATCTATACCCACACTTTTTAATAATATACCAACATATATTGTAGTTATTATGTGGGTAAAAATAATTTTTAGTGACATATATAGTGTCACTATAGGGTGTATGTCACTATATGACAATTTTCTTATAGTGTCAATTTGAAATTTTTATTATTTTAATTAACTTGCTCTTACATTACCACAACATATCTAAACAATTCATAAGAAATTTATGTACATTTTGCTTCAATGGAGTATTTCAATAACTAATCCACACTTTTATATTTTTTTATTTGCATTTAATTAGTGAGTCTTCGAAAAGTTTCTCTCATCTATATTTTTATAATGCTATAATTTATTTATTTATACGCTACCATATCTTATATATGATACGAAACTTATATGTAAATTACTCTTAATATCATGTATAAAAAGAATGAAGTAT